TTATGTTGCTTCCTCATGCTCTGTGTCTCATGTTTTCCTTTTTCCTCATTTATTTTGAAAAGCACACCTTCCAGTAGCTTTCTAAGAAAGGGGACATGAAAGATTTATATTTTTTTGACTTGCAAACCTGAAAATGTCTATTTTCTATCCTCATCTTATTAGAAGCATAAAAATTTCTTCACTGACAATAATTTCTCTTCAAAATATGGGGGCCATTTCTTCCCTGTCTTCTGGAATCTAGCGTTGCTGTTGAGAAATTCTGTTCTATTCTGATTCCTTTCCTTTGTATGCAGCCTAATTTTGTTTGTTGGCTTGTTTTTAATTTTATGGAACCTTTTAGGATCTTCTTTTTATCCTTCGTTTTCTGAAATCTCAGTGTTATACATTGATGTTAGGAAAATAGAATAAAGGAAAGAATTCCTACCAGATAACTCACTTATATTTTTTTTGTCCTGCCATTTATATTTTGGTAGTTCCCAAGATCCTATGTCTCCTGAGTTCAGACATACGGACTTCCAGAGTGCCACTATCACCTATGAGGCAAGAATAAAGCCTTAACTTGACATTTCTAGGACTTTCCTCAGGGTCTGGCCCAATAGTGCTAAATGACCCTTTTTTGTACTGTGGAAATGATTTCTAAAAGTATTACCCTTTTGTTTGTTTGTTTGAGTTTGAGGCCAGAATTTCCAGCTGACTTCCAGAATTTATCTGGTGTTCCCTCCTAGCACCTTGCACTCTCACATGTCCAAAATGAAACTCATTATCTTCTCCAGCCTTTGTCCCCTACCAAAATCAACATTATTAATAATTTCCCCCCGTATTTTCTGTTCCTCCAGTCGCAGACCAGAGGCTTCCAACACCTGAGTCCGTCCTTAGCACTGCTACCCGCAGCCTGTCTCCACCTCCTACTGATTTTGCTTTAGAAATATCTACAACTCTCTCTAATCCATTTCACTTGACACTATGCGGTTCTTAAAAATACCATTTACAAGTTAAACAAAGTGAAATGCTAGTCAGACATAGAAAGGCTTTGACTATTGCAGTTAGACTATTTATTTAAAAGAGTTTTCACAGCAGGAGAGAGGCTATAAATATTTTGAATATAAATTGACTTGTAGTTAGAGAAATTGAAATCTAGTCCAAGCTAAAAAATGTCTAATTTTTATTTCTCTGGTTTAAATCAGAATAATATAAATATGGATTATTTAAACACCTTATTATACCTCATCTTTTGTTTTTATTCTTAACTTTTGGCTTTGTACCTGCTAATGTTTCTGCCCAGGAATGCTATTCCCTCCCTAGTTCCTGCCACAGTTAACTCCATACTTATCACACTTTTCTACTTCTTGAGAACAGAAAACATTTCTTGTTAATCCTTAGGGCCTAGGTAGCCTCAGTACCTAATAATGTCCTGACACGTAGTAGGCCCACAGTAAACATGTACTGAATGAATGTTCTAGATGGATTTTTAACATTTGAAATGACACCTTCATTCTATGTTCTTAAATTACACATTGATTTTATTTCAATAGTCTACTTGTACTTCAAGTCAGAATTTCCCATAGAAATAATGTTATACATGATTATGCCCTGAATGAAAGATAATCAAATATTCTGTAAAAATCTTATTTAATTTGTAATATATCTGAAGCAGTACTTGAAACATTTACTAATAAATAGATATTTCATAAACTTACTATAGTTGACTATAGAATCCATTTATATTTATTTCCCTACATTTTTATATCACTAAACAATTTACCAAGTGCTTTCATTTGTATTTTGGATGTATTTTCATTTGTATTTGTAAATGGATGTATGAGACAAGGGAAAAGGAAGGTGTGCTGTTTACATTGGTGATGGGAATATATTCCCACAACTTTGCTGCTCTCCTGTCTGTATATGGCCACCATGGTTAGTCCTTCCAACTGACTACATTAGTGCCTCATTTATTAATTTAGTCAACATGTATGTATTGAACACCTGTGTAATACTAATATTTTTCTAAGTGCTACAAATAAATGAAAACCACAATCCTTGCCTTCAGTGAGCTCATAGCCTAGTGGTAAAAACAGTCAGGAAAACAATATAATATTGTAAAGGGTTTATTGTTACATCTAACACTTGCCATTGGGATACAGAGGGGCTCCTGATTTAGTCCAAGTTGGTCACGGAAGGATTTTCAGTTCTATGTCTTTAAGGAGAAGTAGGAGTTAGCTTGGTGAAGAAAGTGGGAGGATATTCTGTGTAGAGAAAAGCAAATTCAAAGGCATGGAGGAGAGTACATGAACTACGTAAATTGTTCAATCTGTCTTATGAGAACAAAGGGATTATCCTACCTAACCATAATATAATTCTCACACTCAGGAAACAATATTGGTATAATTATCTAATATCCAATCCATATTAAAATTTCCTCAATTATCCCAATAATGTCATTTATAACTTTTTTACAATCCAGGAGCTGATCAAGCAGAGTGTGTTACATTTAGATGTCTCTTTAGTCTCCTTTAATCTAGAAACTTTCCTCAGCCTTTTTTCTCTCTCTCTTTTCCTCTCCTTCTCTCTCCTTCTCCCTCTCTCAGTCTGCCATGATATTGATAGTTTTTAAAACCCAGCCCACTTGTTGCACAGAATGTGCCTCATTTTGAATTTATATGATTGTTTCCTTGCAGTTAGATTCAGGTTAAATATTTTTGTGTAAAGTACTACATAGGTTATGCTGTGTTGTTCTCAGTGCATCACTTCAGGATGCAATTGATTTTTTGTTGTTGTTGTTTTGTTTTGTTTTGTTTTCAGTGTATGATAATCCATTCCCACCTATTTAATGTTCAGATTGTCCTAAAGTTAGCCAAGATAACCTTTTGTTCTGGCTCCTCTGCCCTTTTCACACATCTCTATCTGTTTTGGAGCACTTATTTTCTGGCACAAGAATATGTTTTTGACTTATTTTGTACTTTCTCTTTTGTACTGTATTTTGTACTTTCTCCCTAGCCTCAGAATGAGTCATTTCTCCAAGTGCTCTGGTTCCTTTTAGTGAGTAATGATATGTAGAAACCAAGATCTGAGGGCTAGGTGTGCTCATTGCTACTACAGTGTCATTGTTTCTGGACTTTTTTGGTATACAAAGCTAGGAATGTTTTTGTTTTTGTTTTTTTTTTAAACCTTAAGCTCATATTGATATCTTTGAGTCCAGTTCAATACTTTATGATTCTTCCTGTCTTTCCCCTATTCCGTATTTATATTCCCTTTTCCCACAATGAGTACGATGTTGCTAGCAACAACAGTGTATTTACCCATCCGCTCAGTCTTACAATACGCACATAACAGATTCAGAATCACTAAATCAATACCACTACCACAACGAACTTACTAAGGAAAGTTCAAATTTTCTTTGTAGTTCTTTTTTTCCTTAAGGTGTAGGCCATTAAGGAGGTTTAAAAGTTTCTTGGATTAATTCTGTTTTTACCCCTTCTTTACGGTTAATGTTTCTAACAGGATATACAGGTTCATTTGTTTCTATTTAATTTCAACTTTAGGGTATTTGTTGTTTTTGTTTTTTCTGTTCTTATGCTTGCTTTTTAAGATTTTAGCTTTTTTAAATGTTTCCTTTTACTAATGAAATAGATTGCTACCTTAAATGTTTGGTATTACCTGGAGTTCTTTCTAGGAAACATACTGTTGAATTTGGGTGCACATTTTCAAAGACAGCTAGATAGTATTACTACTCATTAAAGTATCTGAAATATTTATTGTATTTTAATTGAAATAGCCATCAAACCACTTTAGAGTTAAATTTACATGTAAATCAACAGCCTCCAAAAACTCTATTTCTTACCCACCTTTACTTGATAACACTATAAGATTTAGTACTTTTATAAACATATGAAACAGAACAGATGGAAACAGGCTTGATGTGTATTTATATTTAAATATCTTTTTATAAACTATAAATAAGTTTACTGCATTCATTTGTCAACTGTTCTGTATAAAGGGATTGCATCTCAAAAAAGGAAACAAAAGAAATAAAAATTCCAGAGGAAACTAGTTTTTCGTTATTTTGGACATAACTATGTAATAGACCTATAATTTAATAGGAATGTGTGCAAATAACCTCTTTGTGTGGGGCAAAAAAAAAAAAAAATTCTTGGAGTTTCCTTAAATTTGTGTTAGCTCAGTAGTTTCTTTGGAACTTCATTTTCCACTTCATTTCAATAATATTTAGCATTGATGACTATAAATAGCCATGAATATTATAAGAATAATCTATTATTTGTAAAGATAACTGCCTATATAACCCATCCTTCATTAATTATATACAAAATATCAATTTAATTAATAATGGGATGCAGTCCTTTAGATTTTTGAGAGCCTCTTTTGTTTTATTTTTTAATATGAAAGACAAACTTTTCATATATCCTGCCAAAGTTTGTAGTAATTGTTCTGTGTCACCTTAAGTCATGGGACGATTATTCTCTCTGATATGAAAAATCAGTTGTTGAGAGCATGTTCACAAAAGTTAGCGTGGAAATGTAATGTTCTACAATCAGTTCAGACAGCAGAATCTCAATAGCAAAAACAAAAACACTCTCCAACACCTGGCTGATGTTAGAATAGAAGCTGATGCCTTGAAAATAACCCATTTCTTCAAGGGAAATGTGATTTATGATAACCTGAGATGCAGATGTGACTAGAACCACATTCCACTTAAAGTTATTGTGCTTCTGGACTATAAAAGCAGTACTCTGAAGTGAATCAGTGGAACTGGGTCCTCTTTAGTGGACAGTAACACAGGCACTAATGAGACAGATTTCATTAAAAGGCAGTTGATTTATGAGAGAGTTAAAGTCCTATTTCATTTTGAAATTGCTGATTTAGTCCTGGCACCCAATTTTTTCTCCCCCCACCATCAATATCACCATCACCAGTTTCTGTGTTTGCTTTGACATTGCTATGGTAACACTGAGGGCTGATGGAATTCCCTGCATCTCTTTTCACAGAGGGTGATGAGACAGGAGTGATGGATAGTCTGCTGGAGGCCCTGCAATCGGGGGCTGCCTTCCGCGACCGAAGAAAAAGGACACCGAAGCCGAAAGGTGAATACTAGTTTCATGTTACTTTCTAGGGAACTACCACAAAGAAGAAACCTTTTTTCAAAAAAAATTTTTTAAGTGATGTGTCAAGAATGCAGTGCTGTGGGCAACAACTGTTCAGGAGTTTTAGAAGTTTGTTTAATCCCTCCGTTGCAATGATAAGTGTCATCAGTTGCCCGATGTCAGCAGCACATAAACAAATCAACGCACTGCACCTAGAAAATCCTGATTAGTGTCACAAGTCTCATTTATATAACCGCGTGTACCATATCCCTGTGGAGTTTACAGTAGCATAATTAAATGGGAAGTAAAAGTAATAACATACACTGCTTCAAGTTTTTCAGAGTATTGAAGCATTACTATTCTAAGTATTAAGTTTTCTAGAAATACTTAACTTTGGAAAAAGTCTACCTAATATGATTATACTTCTCGAGATAAACAGACCTCTGTATTAAGTTTCTTCTTTTATTTATTTATTTTCTTAACAGATATTCGGCAGAGTCTCAGTCCGATCTCTCAGAGGCCTGTTCTGAAAGTTTGTAACCATGGTAATAAACTGTATTCCTAAATTGCACATTCTTTTTATCTTCTTATCCTGTTGATCTGTGATTTTAGCAGGCTGCCATAAAGTTCTCAGGTGTCAGTATAACTAAAATAGTAAAATTGTGTGGATGTGCATATTTGCTATGAGGTTGTGTACTCATGTTTCCTATCCTTACATTATTATCTTGAGGTGATGTCTTAGGTTCTTCTTTCATATCTTGAATAATTTTTATTATTATTATTATTATTATTTTAAGTTACCTTGACACATTTCGGAGCCTGTGTGGCACAGTGGGTAAGAGCTCAGCTGCTAACCAAAAGGTCAGCAGTTGGAATCCACCAGCCGCTCCTTGGAAACCCTACAGGGCAGTTCTACTCTGTCCTGTAGGTTTGCTATGAGGCAGAATCGACTCGATCGCAACGGGTGACACATTTCTGATCAATGTTGCCTAATGCACCCTCTCAAAAGCAATGTGCACTCGTAATGCTATTTTAAATAATGGATTTACTTTATATCAAGATACAATTTAAAATATTGAACCTATTAACCTATTTTCCCTACTACAGTTTGAAATATTTTGACAGCGCTTTGGCAAAATCGTAAATACAGGTGGGCTTCATGTGATACTATTGTGGATGGATGTGATAAAATTACTAAAAAGAAGATGAATTTACAATCGAGAAAAAAATTATTATGGGCTCTGATAATTACTTCAGACTGACTCTTCAGAAATCCCTGACTAACTGCTACCTGCCTAACCTCATGTAGGCTTCCTCCTCTGTTCAGGGTGCCATTTCATGTTGATTGGGCCTTATTTACTTTGACTCCCTTCTTCTCAATGTTCCATGTTGTGGAGTTCTGCTTACCTTGCATAGTCAGAGCACATTTGTCCATTCTGATTGCTATTTATTCAGAATGAGATTGTCATCAAATTTGCCATGTATTTAAAAGGAAAAATACTTGGTAAATTTCATTCAAGAGTTTTTGGTGGTGCTAATGAGTTAAATTCTAGAAGTCCTAAAGTGTGACTCAATAGAGAAATGTGCCAAATCTCTAGGGTAGCCTAAAAAATTTTGAAGTAATGATTTCTCTACAGCTGCATGGATCCCAGCTGACCAAGGTAAGGTATATATCTGAAAAACAAGGGAAAAAAAAAAAAAAAACCCACTGCTTGTTGAGTCAATTCCAACTCACAGCAACCCTGTAGGACAGAGTAGAACTGCCCCATAGGGTTTCAAACTCTGTAAATATTCATGGAAGCAGGCTGCCACATCTTTCTCCCGTGGAGCAACTGGTGGGTTTGAACTGCCAACCTTTCAGTTAGTGGCCAAGCACTTAACCACTGTGCCACCAGGGTTCCTAAGGTCTGTATACTAGGTGCTTAGAAAATGAGAAAAAACAAAATTTTATAGCAGAATTTTAAATAGGCCTTTTGACTCCTTCCACCACTAAGTTATGTTATTGTTTTTGTTTTACGTTTCCTTACTGTAACAATAGAAAGAAGAGTTGGGGTAAGTCAGAGAAATTCAGTGTAGATAATTAAGTAATTCCCAACTTTAGGTTTAAGATTTAGAGCCATTGTGATATACTAAATCATAGCAAAAAGGTAAATGATAAGAGCTTTCCTGGACCTCAGAGATCTTTTATCTTGTTGATGAGTAAATGGAGACCCAGAAAGTCTGAAAATTCCCCAAGAGTACAGAGCTAGTGTCACAATCGTGAACATAATACCGTTCTGATTCCCATTACATTTCTTTTTGGGTTATGCATAGGGATTTACATTATTTTTTATTAATAATAAATTGTATAAATAACCAACTCAAAATAAAGAAAAGAACCATAGCCAAACACAATGATTGTGATACGATTATAATGGTATACATACACTCATGGTATTTAAAATAAATATTTTAGGTATTATCTGGGGACAATTATTTAAGGTAAATTTGCTCACTGACTTTGGGGAACCCAGTCCTTCTGTAACTACAATGTTGGTAACCCAAACCAAAGCCCACTGCCCAGTCAATTCCAACTCATAGCAACCCCACAGGGTTTCCAGGGCTGCTTCTGTACAGAAGCCGACTGCCACATCTTTCTCTCAAAGAGCCATTGGTGGTTTCGTACTGCAGACCTTTCAGTTAGCAATTGATCGTTGTAACCACTCGCCACCAGGCCTCCTTACAATGTTAGTAAAGTAAGCTATAATGACTCCACTATAGATACTTATAAACTGTGATGTTTCTGACATTATAGAAAAGCAGATGAGCACTGCTTTTCTATCTTTTCTAAAGTTGGTATGTGCTGTCTTAAGTTCTTAGGCTATTGTGATAATTGAGCTAGTAGATTGTACAGCAAGACATATCACGAAGATCAAATTCTCTTTTCTAATATAAATCTAATGGGCTAAAGCAACTTTAAAAATTATTTTCTGTTGATATATCTGTTATGCTTCCTTTTGCATTTCTAACCACAATCCAAATAATGAAATTGATCTTTAGGAGCTGTATATATAAAAACAGATTTACTAGACTAGACTTTGAAAAATGCAGGATTCATTTAAGGCAATTTTCTTCACTGCGAAAAGGATCATGGTCATTTTTAGAGTAAAATGATACATCAAAGTTCAATTTTGTAATCTTATTTCTAAAAATTACTTAGTGTTTTCTTCAAAAATACTAGCCTTACAACTGAACCATGTGCTAGAAATATAACGTTGAACCTATTTTACTTTATTAACTTATTTTCATGTACTTCAAAGATAGTTAATTTACATTTTCTAAAAGTATACATTAGTTGATAACGATTTTATTATCTATTTTTAACTGAGTTCGAAGATTTTCCACAATTATTTTAAGTTTGTTTACTTCCCAAGTAAAATAATGGTGATAATAATAATATGCTTATGTTTACTGAGTGCTCCCTAAATGCCAAGCACTGTAATAACTATTTGAAGTATACCATCTTATTTAATCTTCTTAGTAATCCTATCAGGTAGTCAATATTCTTATTTCCATTTCATAGCTGAAAAAAATCAAGGATTAAACAACTTAACTACCTTCCTTAAGGTCATGCAACCAAGTTTCAAACCTGGGCCTTTCTGCTTCAGAGTCCGATTTTTAACTCCTCTGCCATACTGGTCTCTAAACGCAACTGCTTGAATCAATGTCTAATCCCCTTGCCATCCATGAGCCACGTGTGTACACTTTTCACTTGTGACGTGAGGTTGAACTGTTGCGATACAGCCTCTCAGGTTTTCTAGCCTCTGGTGTTCCTCACCTCTTGTCCCCAGATTTAACCACTAGATAGCACTGTTTTCCTATCCTGAGGCTTGGACTACAGGGATATACCATTTTCTGGAACTAATTATGACCACTTTTGAGTTAAGAAAGAGTGGTTACTTTTTTAATTTTTCCTTTTTTAAATAAACTATTAAACATCTATATTGATTTTAGTAAACTTATACTCTGTTAGATCACAGAAGATTTAGGAAAAAGATACCTATATATGTGTGTGTATGTATATATGTATATATGTGTGTGTGTATATGTATATATATCCAACTTAGGTGGGGTTCCATTCCTACAACTCTGTTGTAAGTTGGTTCTGACATAAGTCGAATACCAGGTGATGGCTTGCTATATGAAAGTGTTTTGAACAGTGAATCATAAAATTGAACATCTGCGAAGTGAACATCTGAGAATGATAACCTTAGCAAATTATGCACTACAACTTTGTATATAGTACATATTACTAACAATCAGATGTACAAAGAAAATTAAACATCAACAGTCTAAGTACAGTTCTTCATAACTCAAATCTGTCTTAAGTTGGGGACTACCTGTATATATACCCAAAGCCCAAATTTAACTTTATTAGCTTTATTTTTAACCTTTCATTATCTGTGTATTTGAGTGTGCCTTTTTAAATCATAGCTATAGTCCCATGCTTCTTAGTTTTTGTTTTTTGTTTTTTTTTTAAATATCATTTTTGTATGTCAAAATCAGTAAATCCTGGTAAAGTATCCTCTGGGATTTGGGAGCTAAAATTTCCTAATACATGTTTTGGGAAGCGGGGTAAGTGTTCGTTCATAACTGCAGTTTGTACGTAAGTCGGACGTTTTTAACCCAGTGACTGCCTGTACTGACAGCTCTTAAGATAGAAATCTTATTCAATATCTGTCTTCCACACTACTCATGCATTCTGCTGGGGTGGAGGCAAGTCAATAAAGGACGATGTCTCTCTTGTTTACTGCTGTAACCCAGGTTCTCAGCTTTGTTGGTACCTGTCTCTTTAGCTGTTTAGTAAGAATTCGTCAAATGAATAAATGTGCTTAGATTTAGGCTTGAATGGAACAATTAATGTATACTGAGGAGCAAAATCAGGTCTCTGGATTTCACCCAAATAAATTGGGTTGAGTATAACAATGCTAAGGCCCCAATCGTGAGTACAGTTAACTACCTCTCATCTCCTCTCTAAAATGTTGCCTGTCATCAGTTTACATGGAACTGATGTGGCAAATATAAGAGAAAGTGAAGAATTGAAAAGAGCTCATAACCACCTCAGTGCCAACAGAAACTGGCTGCAAGAGCTGGGGAACAAGTCAAAGAGTGTATCAAGGTTTGAGGAAAGAAGCCAGGCCTAGACCTCTAGCTGAAGAGACCCTCACAGAGAATTGTTAGAGCTGTATAAGCAAATGAGTTATCTGAAGGGGAAGCGTTAAGAATGGACACAGGTGAGTAATGAAGTGAGCAAAAAGAGCTGTAGAAATAGGGGGCAAATGCAGACTAGTGGAGCCTACATCATGAAGTTGAAAGAAGAGTTTCAAGGATATGGTCAATATGAGTCAGGCTGCAAGGAAGCAAGAAGAGGTAAGCCTTGATGTTGAAAATGCAGTGTAGTAGCAAACAGAATCCATTTGGTTCTGTTTTGTATCTAATCATGTAGACTAGTATTTCTCAAAGTTCAGTAATACACGAATACCTTTTAAATAAAAAATACTTATGT